TATGTGACTTATGTGCAAAAAAGATTTGCAATCGGATAAAAGACGTTTATGCACCAGCGTTCCAAAAGTGGAAGGTAGCGGTCAAGCGTGAGGGGATCCAGCCACCTTAAAAGCCACTCGAAAGTCGAGCCATTGGTAGATCCTGACCGTTGGTAAGGCCGGGAAATTTAAATAAAACAGAGAATTCATTGCTGATTCTCCCTTGGCAGACGGTGATGTTCAAACGTATTCCACTCTCCACACCCACTATATCTACCACTAGATTTAATGTTTTAAGCACACTCTCTCAACTAACATATTGATTTAACCGGACGAAAAAAAATTGGTGAAACTGAAGAAAAACTCCTTTGGCTTGCCGGGGAAGAACGATACATCATACAAACCCTATTCACATGTGGCGTGATCGTGGCCATAGCCTCCTGAACAACAACTGAGGCCTCCATTAGAAGGCTATTAGAAATGAGCAACGTAACTCTTTAATAAATGGTTATACGGGATCTACAGCTTGTTACAGCGTAGATGTTGCTGCATGATACAAAGTTTACAAATACCCAAAGTTTTTGCCCTTCTTTTGTTTAGTCCTTGGTTCTTGTGAGGGTAGCACTTAATAGCAGCTAATAAACTTGTGCCCGTCATTGTTACGTGATCGAAAACCAGCCAAGAACCCGGAGAAAAAACCGTTGAAGCACAGGGAAGAACCATCTAGAAACTCTACTCAATCAAACTACTTTCACACGATAGTGCACTATGTTATAAAAAACATCAATAGTTAAATAAAGTGCTAAAACAATTGACTTACATCTGCAGAACGTCTTCTACGACGCAATTTATATCGACCTCGTGGTGAAAATCTTGCAGAAGTTGACGTTGGAGGAATCAACACTTCTGGATTAAAAGAGATGCACAAATGTGAAAAAATATCATTCTGGGGTATATAAATTGTATCGAGAGGAAAAAAAAGTTTGCAGGTTTATATAGCGGCAGAATATATTATATGACTTACAAACCTTTTTGGTGGATATGATTACATTTTAAAACATCTCCGTGCATCCGTGTATACACAGAACATATATGGATTTATATATGACCTTTGATTTGTATTGTGTATTTTCAAGGGATTGTCATTTGTATCTCATAAGAAATGCAAATATAACATAAAACTGAAATGGTACTTATGGATTTCCATAAGATAAATCCTCTCCCCTCTCCACCTCCTTCGCCACTCTAAATGGCATGGTGCCCTGTTTCTTAGGATGTGTGTGGGTCCCCTAGCCTAAAGGCTGTACACTCATACGCTAAGTGATCATGCCACCTGCCCATGCATGCACGAATACATTACCGTCTGAAGAAATTTCTTCACTGATTGTGGGTCGCATTTCTTTGAAACTTTCGTCCTTATTGTCTGATTCAGTGATGACAGAGCCATTTACTTTCGGCAGAAACCTATTATGCGTTGTGTCATCTTCTTGAATACCAGGAATTACAGCAGCACTAGTAGAATACACACTTCCGGTTTGCAAGTCGTCGTTGTTGGCTGCAGCTTTTGTGGCTGCTTTTATCTCTTGGTGAACCATTGCAACATCTTCAACGCCGTAGCCATTCATTTTTTTCGCGGAGATGTTTTCTTCTACGGGGGGTTTTGTAGGAGCACTAAGCAGTTTTCTTTCGTTGTTCCCAACTGGAAACTTAGTCGGCAATTCTATTGGTTCCTCGACATTTTGTGGCAATTGGGTAAATCCTGTTGATTCTCCCAAAAGTTGAGGCGTTGATATGGGAACCCCTTTAGGTTTCCTGTTTTCATTTGGCAAAAACTGGGAAAACCCTGTTGGTTTTCCTGTGTTTTTTGTCAAATCAAATGAATCCTCAGATCTTCTGTAAATATCATTTTTCGGCACTGATTCGTCATTGACCCCTGCAAAGTGTTCTGGTTTCGGGCTCCTTTTGAGCTCCTTGTCATCTACTTCCAAAAATGACTGACTTGAATAAGATTCTTGTGTGGTGCTGCTCTCGGTAATGGCATTATTAATGTTTGGTGGTTCGTTATTACGTTCCTGTTACAAAAGAATCAAACAAAGTTCTAATGTTCTTTGTCAGGAAAACATGCGGAATTTATTTCAAACACCGCTAAATACAGTTTGAGGAGGGTGAAGGAAGGTTCATTCTGTGTGTCTCACATAAAAAACACGTTGCATTGGCTACTATTAATTCGGTTCTTCCAGACTAATTACTTTATATCTATTTAAAAAGTGCAAAACAAAAACAAAAAATGTTAAGTATATTGCATTCACCAATGTTATTAAAAAATAAAGCAATATTTGGACTTAACTGATAATTCTTTGCTTGGATTCCAATAAAAGATTAAGTTGGTTTTATGATACGAGGTTCTAAACCTTTTCAAATCTTTTACGCATTAAAAGTCAATATTCTTCTTAACACGATAAGCGCTCTTCTTAAAAAATACACCGAAAAAGAACTCAAAATGATAATCACAAAAAGTAAAATAAGTTGCTGCAAACAAATAAAAGTTGCTGCAAACTGATAATGCAAGTGATAATACGCGCGCAGACGTTTTTACTTATTGTTTACAGCAGCTTTTGGTTTTTTTTTTTTCTAATAATTTGTCCTAATGTTTTTTCTTTTTGCAGCAACTTTAAATTATTTGCAGCAACTTTAATTTATTTGTAGCAACTTTAATTTATTTGCAGCAACTTTAATTTATTTGCAGCAACTTTAATTTATTTGTAGCAACTTTAATTTATTTGCAGCAACTTTAATTTATTTGCAGCAACTTTAATTTATTTGCAGCAACTTTAATATATTTGCAGCAACTTTCATTTATTTGCAGCAACTTTCATTTATTTGCAGCAACTTTCATTTATTTGCAGCAACTTTCATTTATTTGCAGCAACTTTCATTTATTTGCATCAGCTTTTTTTTCATTTGCAAAAGCTTTTATTATTTGCTTGCAGTTGTTCCCTATGGGCCACCGTCCTTTCAAATTCTTTATGCTTCATTGGAAAAAATTGTCCATACATTTGGAATATTTGCACTTTTCGGTCTTATTCCTCTCTTTCCAAAGCAAAAGGTTGTTCTTAAAAGTAAAGTTATATAGCACAAGTAAACTGCGTGACAAAAAATCCTAAATGACCCGTAAATCTTCTGTTCTTTCGCTAACTAGTAGTAAGCGTGTTTTCGAGGCTACGAAACCTAAGAAACCATGAGAGGCGAATGTATAGGCCAACGGATAGTATGAGCTTATAAAATCAGCAAAAATACGGTTCTAAATTTTAACAAATTCCTATGAATTATATACCAAAATGTTCAGGAAAACCCAAAGTTTTCAAATCCACTTCTGTTTTTTTTTTTTTACTGGTTCTGCTTTATTTCAGGGAGAGACGATTTTCTAGCTTTTCTCTTGTAAAATACGTCCAACAACGTACATTCAACTCAAAAAGTACAGTGGTTTTTTTTCAATAGAATTCAATCTAAACCATATAATACAGTCCGTGAATAGTTGAATTAACTGAATCCACTTCTGTTTTTTTGCCTAGATAGTCATTATTTTGAGAAAAGATCCAAAAACCGTGTATTTGAGACATAATTTGTATGGGTTCGGGAGGGGGCGTGAGTTTGAAATCGTAGCTGACCAAATGTTAACAGATTTTTTCTGATGTAAGCGCATATTCTCATGATTTCTTTACTTTAACTTTTAGTTTTAGAATTACAAAATGAAAATTGTTACCTCCAAAGTCTTGAGATAATGAATATTGGAATATTCATATTAGGTGAAATCTCGTCAAGCGGCGATTCTTTAAAAAAAAGACAAAGTATATAAGTAAAAGGCTGTGCGTATAAAACATCTGTATAGAACATGTTCAAAATATAACGGTGTAACTAAGTTCGATATTAAAAATTGAATCAATTGAATCAGTAAGAGTAAGCATTTATCAAGATTAATTTTTGCCCCAATAATAAATGACACCTTTCATAAAAATGTTGATAAAGAGCTATTTTATCACTTGATTTCCCAAACGTGTGTTTAAGACGCAGTTTCTTAATATTTAGACGGTAAACTCTTTATCTCTAGCCTTGCGCAAGTTATGGATTGTTTTGTTCTTAACCGAAAGTTATTTGATCAATTGTATGATAAAAATTACTAGTAACTTTTCATCCAAAATGCGCGCGCGCTTCCTGTTGAATACGCGAGCAAAATCTTAGAATCATTCAAAAAGTTTTGAAATTCAAAGTCATGATCATTCGACTTACCGCGTGAAGAGACGCCTTGCAGTGCAACAAGAAAAAAGGCTAAAAAAATTAGCCACTTTTTCATATTTTATTTTAAATAATTCAAATCTCTCATAGCGTTTCCTCGGAATCTATCCATCGTGAATAGCTGGATAAATGGAATAATTAGCTGACGTCATCAAATTAAATTAAGCTACTTAATATTCTAATTACCACTTTTAATTTGATTTGATTACGTCAATCGTATGGAAAACGACTTCCGGACCCAAAACTTAAATATATCCATGACATTGCCTTTTACTGAGTTATCCAATAAAAATATTGCACTCTGTTTATTAAAAAAATTTTTTTTGAAAAGCAATCTCGATCAAGAAGTCATACCTAAGCTGGTATTATCTAACTGGTTTGTTATATATTTTTTCAAGTACCGAACCATCTATATTGAGTTATATAAAACGGTAATTGACCAATCAGAGCGCGTTTAATTTACACCTTGGTATTTTAATTGCAACTTTAATTGTAATTATATTAATCAATATTTTTTCTATACAAACATTGTAATCGATCGTTTTTATATTATAAGGAAATAAAATGTATTTATATTGATTTTAAAAGGGAAAAAATGTACATGGTCATTAACATAGAATCACTGTTAATTCAAGGTTTTCCTTTCCAAGCAACCTATCTTTTTTTTAAATTTTTTTTTAATTTAATAAATTTAAAGTATGGGTTAATAACCKTGCGGGGATGATATTAGGGTGAATCGTATATCGCATTACACACCAATGAGATCTTCTAATATTCTTATGCGTTGTGTGGATCAGACTATTTAATAGAAAACCTGTGAAAGGCCAGTTTAGAATTTGCAAAAGCGATTAGTCAAAACAAGAAAATTGATTTTAAAAAAAACATTGTACGTACTGGTTGATATTTGGGAATTCTGAAAAGCTTTCTTATCTTAGCTGGATTCTATTCAAACATTAAGAGAGAATTCTTTACGTATTCAAGAAGTGAGTGCCAAAAACCATTTAAGGAGAGAGAAGCCAATATAAACCCGTGTTGTCGGCTCAGAATTACTGCGCGTAATTGGCTCCATGGCATTTAATTAATAAACGGTGAAATTAACACTTCTCGGTAATGAATGCAACGGTTTACACTGGATTTACTCTTGGCGGTCTTTCTATTGTGTTTTCCTTAACTTTTATGAAAACAATAATTTCCTGACAATGTGATACAAGGATAAGGAACAAGGATAAGGTATATCTTGCACTTTCTCCCACAGGTGAGTGAACAAATATCGTACAAATCTTGATTTTCTTTCAAGCTACGCTTGTTTGAATTGCAAAGAAATTGATGAAGCAGTTATTATTTTGTTGAGGCGAATTTCGTTACAAAGTAAGCGATAAAACTAATCACAGTTAACTTTTACAATCGCAATAACTTTTTAAGAAAATTTTACATCGGTTTTGAGATTCGTGAATTTCCTCGAACATGCAGAAAAGCAACGTTTACAATGCATAAAAAGAAAAAAATCCTGTAAACAGTTCCAGCTATAAAATTCTTTTAGAATATTGATGGAGAAGAAGTTCTCAAAAACGCCGAGCGTCCATTTCCTAGAACAGTCCAGAAACCGTCGCTACTGAGACGACTGTTAGGTACAGTAGTTACAATCTCAAGGAAACAAGGTCTTTTTTCTCTATAAACCCTTTTTGGTGGCTTAAAATAGCCGATATGTTATAAATACATCTATATGGTATAATAGTTTTAAAACGTTAAAAAGAGACGGAAATCTTTCAAGCGTTTGTAATTTGTTCTTTTGAGTTGACTCAAAATGTATTAGCAAGGGCAAAGACATCACGTGAAATTTGGTCCGATGTTCGAGAACGTTTTTTTTTTTTTTTTTTTTTTTTTGCGTTTTACCTTATTTATTATTCAAAAATTATACCTTTTTTATACATCAATTGTAAGTCCTTCGTCGTAGTAAATATGGAAGAAGGAATAAAGAGAAAAGGCTCATATAGTTACATGTTGTATTTAAAGGAGAAATAAAAATGAGCTAAAAAGAAAAAAAGAAGAAAAAGAAAAAAAAAGAATAGAAAAAGAAAAACTGTTAATTAAATTAAATTAAATTAGAAAGAACATCTGGCAATAAAAGCAATTCGTTTTATTATTTATGAGAATTCATGGTTTCTTTCTTTTAATTATCCTAGCAAATTTGATTGTTTTAAATGCCACCCAGCTCAATATTCATGAAGCAATATCAACAAGAACATTTAAAAAAACGTACTCGATGAGTACAGGTTTCTATAAATATAAAATATTCAGTTGCAGGTATGTCATTGTAAATACTGCGGTTCTGTAACAATCGTCCATGCTAGGCATCATTGACATGCTTCGTCTTGGCACAAACAAAAACACATCATTGTATGTCTGAAACTTTGTTTTTGCAGAAGTTGTTCATTCATTTCTTTGGGATATACTCTGCTATACTTTGTTGGTCTTCTTCACGGGATCTGGCTTTCTTAAGGTGGCTGACTACTTTGGTAAATATTAAACAGAAAATTGAAACTTTTTTAACCTGAAATTTAATGCTGATTTCAAAAATGCCAAGAAAAATGAAAAAAAGAAAATCATAAAACCGTAACTAAGGAAGAAACATGAGTAATTTTCTCCGAACACGTAACTTACACTATATTTATAGAATACTGATCAAAGTCGGTTTAATAAACTATTGTAGACAATGGAATAACTTTTTCTTGTTCAGGGCCAGTGGATAAGTCGATGCTGTTTTGCAATAACTTTATCCACTGGATAAGATTTATCCGTCGGATAGCGCTATCCAGGCTTCGTACAATCGGGCCAAGGGTTCTACTGTGTGAAAGTTATCGTAAAAATTTAGCACAAAACAAACGGAACGGTTTTTTACATTGTTCTAATAAACAGAATTGTCTTTGAAAAATAATGGGATATTACCTGTTATTCTGGTAAACAAACAAACAAAATTATAGAGTCCCGTGCAAAATTTGAGGGTTTTGCCCTCTTGAAGTGCAACACGTGTATGGTTCACAATAAAATCGTGAAGATTTTTCAGCGGTTTTTTAGCGCGCGCACATCGTCGGCTCAAATCGAATGTTAAAAAGTAGTCAGCCACCTTAAATATTTTTTCCAAAAACAAGCCAAATCGATCATTTGTCGACCATTGTTTTTCTCTTTTTATTTGTTTATTATTTTTTTCTCGATAACTTCTTTTTAAAATATAGCAAATACCTGAAAGCATCACGTTTCATTAAACGACACTTGACTCCCCCACCCCCCCTCTCTCCAAAACAACAACAACAACAACAACAA